CCCCCCTTGCATCCGCCTATGTTAAACTTAATCGATAGTTATATCAAAGTATATTTGAACTCATGATACAACATGTCTACGATTGGCACAAGGTCAAATAGTTCTCATTGTGATCATCCCAATACGACTGTTAATTTTTCCAGAAAGTTGTTGCGGAGATAGGTACCAGACATCGTGATACATACCACGGACTGAGATAATCTAATTCCGTGGTACTAGACATCGCGATACATACCACGGACTTAGATAATCTAATTCCGTGGTACTAGACATCGTGATACATACGTAAGGAAACGCCTTTCATTATCATTTGTAATGCCGAGTACGTACCTTAGACATCAAAACATAGACTTACATTGTAACACATCACCTGTCGTTATTACGACTGATCACAAACATTGTATTCCATTGATATCACAACCACAATGGGCTTTGGTCTGGTAACGACTATTTTATACTCATGGTATAAATAGATAAAAAAAAAACATCTATTATATATATAAGCGACAAAATGGCACGAAATTTGCATCGGTAACAAAGCTGCAGCTGGGCCATACGGCTGTTTTATATATATTACATGATTTTACCACTGACTTAGAATCTAATCCCTTGGTTGTCCTCCGCAGACATCAACATGTTATAGAAGTATCACATTACCAACGAACGCAAATATTCGTAAAACCACGGAATTATCTAAGTCTGTGGTAAAACAAATCCCTGACCTTCATCAAGTCTTCAATGTTGCCAACTTGACATTATGATCTGTATTAAATGCTCATTCTTATAAGAGCATAGTGTTCACACGTATATTCCTAATCATAATACGTCTGAAGTATTGTAGTCACAAAGTGTATCCATCATTACACAAAACAGTATTGCATTCTTAAACATTGCTATAGGGAGTAGAACTGATTATAATAATATATGACAACGATAGAAAATGTGAACTCTTAAATAACTACTTTAGTTCTGTGTGTTCGTTATCAGAAATTGATACAAAGAATTGCCTTTTTTTGAGAGGAGGACTGACTCCATCTTATCAGAAATAAATATAATTCCCAGTGAAGTTGAAGATATTATAAAAAGTCTAGATGTAAATAAGGCATCAGGTCCTGACGGTATTAGCCATAAAATGCTCAAATTATTATCTAGCGAGATCTCTGTACCGCTATCCATTATTTTTAATCATTCTCTGTCTTCTTGTTCATATCCTGATAACTGTAAAATCGCTCATGTCATGCCTATCTATAAAGCGAATGATGCAAGTATTACCTCCAATTACAGACCGATTTCATTGATAAGCTGTATTGAAAAACTGTTTGAGCGTTTGGTTTATAAACATGTATATAACTTTTTGATTGAAAATGACCTTTTTTTTACAAATATCAGTCAGGATTCTTACCTAACCATTCCACGACACATCAACTTATTGAGCTATATCATTCAATAGTTAACTCTTTAGACAATTACGAACATTCTCTATTAATATTTTGTGATTTTTCAAAAGCTTTTGACCGCGTCTGGCACAGAGGTCTAATACATAAATTGAATAATTATGGCATTTCTGGCCCTCTTCTTCAGTGGATAACTAGTTATCTTTCAAACAGACAACAGGCGGTTTTTATCAATGATTCTCTTTCTTCCTTTAAGGTCATAAAAGCTGGTGTTCCTCAAGGTTCTGTTCTTGGTCCTCTTTTCTTCCTTATATACATAAATGATATTTCCTGTGATCTTTCCTCTCTCTCTAGACTTTTTGCAGATGATACCACTCTTTCTTATTCGTCCCAAGACATAAACACAATTTCATCCAATGCAAAATCTGATCTGAGAAAACTTGAAGTTTGGTCCAAAGAATGGCTGATGTCTTTTAACCCTACCAAAACTGAGGCCCTAGTCATCTCAAATCGGCAAGTTCCATTCATCCCTGCATTCACATTTAATAATACCCCCATTCAAATAACTAACCAACATAAGCACTTAGGTGTTAGTTATTCTTACTAACGACTGTAAATGGAATGTTCATGTTGAATATATTGTCAGTAAAGTAACCAAATATATAGCAACCCTTCGTAAACTAAAACTTATTTTAAAAAGAAATACATTAGAAAAACTATATCTTACTTATGTTCGACCACTACTGGAATATGCATGTGAAGTATGGGACAACTGCGGTGAAACAAATGCCCTGTTACTAGAAAAAATCCATCTAGAAGCTGCAAGAATAGTCACAGGGCTGCCCACATTCACTAAAAAAGATTTCTTATATCAAGAAACCGGATGGTTACCCCTTTCGAAAAGAAGAGATGCTCGGAAACTTTCCTTGTTTTATTCTATAGTAAATAACATGGCACCTAAATTTCTTACTGACTTATTACCAATGTATATTGGAAATATAGCTCCGTATAATTTGCGAAATGCACATTTACTGCGGGAACAGCACTTCCGTTTACAACTATCAAAAAATTCTTTCTTTCCTTCCACATTAAAATTCTGGAACAACTTGAACAACACTGTAAGAAACTCACCCTCACTAAATTCTTTTATGTCTAATGTAAAAAAGTCCATGATAGTAAATAATTTGTTTTACATAAGGTACAATTGTTCCCGGTTGGTGTTATAGTCGAAGTAACAGTAGAAGTTCTTGTCGGTCAATTCCAACGTCAAATACTTCTTATTGAAGAAGAATCTACTACGCTTTTTGGCACTCTTTTTCTGGAGGGAAATTTTACGAATTGCTAGTCTACTTTCTCAATGCATAGTGAAGTCTTATACTTTATTTTTGTTCCAACTAAATGTTAGAGAAGTGAACACCTTCATTATCGTTCTCGCTGTTTGCTAATTTGTAAAGTAAAATAATTTCTCCTTGGAGTCTAATATAGCGTCGGTAGATTGAGTGAGTTTAGTCTATTTTTGTATCGTAGGCCCTTCATTTGAATTTTGTCAGTTTCTCTTCTTTGTAAATTCTGTTTTTTTTCTTCTATATTTCAATATTCACATGCTTACCTTCTCAAAGTTAAGCCGTAGTAAATACTCCATTTTATCATTCCCCTTTTAACTTTTAAAATGCCTTTTATTTTGCCGAGTTCCTGCTCATCATTTAAAAACATTTTAAATGCACTGACAAAATGATAAAGCTACCGAAATAATGAACACAACACAGTTGTAGATTCACAAAATGTATTGCAGTAGAAATTGAAATCGATAAATATCTGAAAATGTCACAATAGAGTCAGTAACAACAAAGCAAAGTATTGCGTGACAACATATGGTCTCAAACCGGTAAACGTTTGTTTGTACACCGAATAAAAGGACACTTAATTATCTCAGGGTCAAAACTTCTTCAGAAATCTTCTGATGCGTGAGTGTTACTTAAAGACATATTTCTAATTGCTGAATAATTTTGCTGCAAATTAACCGATGCTTGCATCATGGATTTTTTGTTTTCAATCATATTTGTCATATAGGTCACAGCGACCATATGCCCAGATAAACTGCTTGAATGATTTGGGTCAAATGCCAAAATATCAGTTAAACTGATATAGCCTGCTTCCTAATACATACCTGAATCCTAGTTTTATAGTAAACAAAATATGTCCCTAATATTTCAAGACTTGGGTCATATAGGTTAAATATTGGTCAAAATGACCTACATTTAGTGCGCAAAAAAAAACAATCTAAAAATGTATCTGATAAAACAAGAATTCCACGGAGGTGGATGTGTCGCCTGCGCAGGAAGCTGGGAGATTTCGAAGAAATAGATACACTTTTCATTTCAAGAAATAATGTTAAAAGTAAGCAATAATCATAGATTATGTTTTTGAATGGCATCATTTTGTTATATAATCTGTTATTCTGGGAAGAATACTCTGAGTTTTAAAGAACTTGCGATGGATACTTATTGTCTCAATTCCAAGTTTAATTTGTATGATTTGTCGGATGGTTTCCCATAAATAAATGAATAAACTTGTGGATTATGATGTTAAACAGCTAGTGTTGTCAATAACATTTGGAGTAAGACGGCATTTCAGATGTATACACGGTGGGTCAAGTGGTAGATCAAAGCCGTTCAGTATACAGTTTTAGTGAAGTTTCTATTTATAGTAACAGTGACCTTGACCTTTGACCTTCGGACATGAAAAGCAATCCCAAGCAAGCACTTTTGGTAAGGAAGCACTTCATGAAGTTTGAGTTTGATCGGCCCAAGGAAACTAGTTAGTGCAAAACAGTGACCTTGACCTTTGACCTTCGGACCTGAAAAGCAATCCCAAGCAAGCACTTTTGGTAAGGAAGCACTGCATGAAGTTTGAGTTTGATCGGCCCAAGGAAACTAGTTAGTGCACAACAGTGACCTTGACCTTTGACCTTCGGACCTAAAAAGCAATTCCAAGCAAGCACTTTTGGTAAGGAGGCACTACATGAAGTTTGAGTTTGATCGGCCCAAGGAAACTCAAGTTATTGCACGAAAACCTCTGTTCGGACGACGCTGACATTGCAATACCTATGTGTCACCAGCTTTTCGCAGGCGACACAAAAAGTATAGAAAAGATTTTCTGGACAATCCCCTGTTAAATTATTGGGACTGTGCTCAACATACATGTAGACTGGCTGCATTTTACTACTAGCTTATCTCCCCCTAGTTTGAGAACTTAGAATCAAACATCCAAGTGATCACAATTTTTAGAGTTTATTTTTTTCTTAATGATTCAATATTCTAGAGATGGGGGCCAGTCGATGCTCAACATAACAATCACAATGACCTACTTTTTACATGACAAAATCCCATCCCAAAATGTACCTACCTTAATTTGGTAACTCCTTAAAACTATAAGAGATATGCACAGGGAAACTTTTGGGACGGAAGGAAGGACGGAATGCAGAAAAAAGATTAATAAATACATACAAATGGAGAATTCGTTACATCTATATTTAGACCAAAACTAAGGTGTTTATAGTAATTTTACACAATTGGGGGGTTTAGATTAATTTTCGGTAAAAATGCCAGCCCCAATTATCATCATTGGGGGTTGCATTTTTACCGACCCCCCCCCNATTACTCTAAACATCTTAGTTTAGGTCCAAATATAGCTGTAACATATTCTCAGGTCCCTGTGATCGTAAAGTCTACACTTACTTTTTTTCCATGAAGTAATATTCTACATTTTAACACATTCTTTTCATAAAATAAATGTAGAATAATGAGATTAGTTTATTATTTAAGAAGAACTCCATGAATGTGAATGCTTTATCTGCCCCCATTGGTAGCCATGTTGATTTTTATACTTGGGACTAAATCAACATTGAGCGGGTATGGATATTATAGGCGTGCATAGAAACATTCACGAAAATCAAAGCACTCATTCAATATTTCATAAAACCCAAGTGTTAAATTTCATGTTTGGTTCAAAATGGAATTTAAGCAGTTAATAGATACTATTGGCATGTACAGATCCTTTCATGAAAATCGAAGGATTCCTTCACCATCATACGTAAACCATGCAGCATATCATAAAACCAAAGATCTCAGCTGCTGGCATTGTTGATTTTCAGATTGAGCTTGAGCAGGTAACTGTTACATTTACTATTGGTATGTGTAAAAACTGAAAAATGAAAGAGTTACGGCTTGGATAACATTTGTCCAGACGATGACAATGCAAGGTGATCCTGTCAGCTTTGCTTTGCATGTGACACAAAAATGGCAAGGAATGATGAAATACAATAAAATTGAATGATCTACATGTGTACAATGCATTACAATAATTACACTGATACTACAGATCAAATATAATTTACCTTACATTAAACACAGGTAAGGACACTTAATGATAACATGGAATGGGAATCAGATCTAGACATACTGCAACTGTATCAGGAAACTAGACATACTACAGCTGTATCAGGACAAACATCACCAATATGATCTGCTTACTATTGATCTCCTCAGACAAATTACACAGCAATTATAACCTTGCGATTTCTAACAATACAATATTGAGGGTATAAATACCAATGACATAACTAGGGCAAAAGAAAATATCAAACTCAACACAAATAACGTGTTACATATTCGTACACAGTATACAAGGTACATCAAATACATGCTAGGAGCTGGATACAAAACTGCAGTTGTAATATCAAAAGACTATTGTTCAGGTGAGAAAACAGCTTTATTTCTGGGCCCAGTTGTTACAAGTCTGATCAGCCCAGTGCCAAATTTACACAAATCTGTCATTATCTATAACTTACAGTAAAGCCTTGTCATACTGCCACCATCCAGTTTAACGGTTACAACCAGCTGAACCTTTAGGTTTTGATCTGAACCGAAGCTGACCTCAGGATTATTTGACACATGTGTATTGAGGTGTACAGACAAACCTGACTGAAACTAAAATGCTAACTATTGCTATAGTTTGCTTTATTTCTGCATAAAGCAAGAACGATTGACATACATATTTCGTGAGTTGTTTTAAAAGTAAGTGTCCAGAGAAATTTTACCATTATAAAGGGGTTTGGCAATAAATTGAGGGAAATGTATAGACATTGAAATATTTTGCAGTAAATGACCATGAGGTGGCAATTGAAATGAGGGGCATTATATCATGGTTTTACTGTATTTTAAAAATTGATAAAATTTAAGACTTCATGTACAGAACATCAAAACTTTTTTCCTTCAACAAAAAACATTAAGATATTTCTTGAAAACCCCTAGCAATGTGAATAAAAATATGTTGATTTGTTAAGCTTATCAATCTGTGAACATGTATAAACGTATACCTTGATCATGATGATTAAGAAAATATGAAATTGTAGAACTTATTGCAGATTTGCATTTTCTTACATGTCACTCAAAAACCCATGATGATATAATGAAACAAGAGGCCCATGGGCCTTAACGGTCACCTGGTATATTTATACAGAGAGTTGATTTGATTTTTAACATGAACAGATTATACAGATGAACCGATTCTAAGCAAGGAAAATGAAGAAATTTTAGCACACTGACTCCTTTGGGCCCCACCCTATAGCCCTTGGGGTAGGGCTGGCTCAAAATGTTCAAACTGTCAACTCAGAGTTATAATTCCAATCAAGTTAGTAACATGTAATATTCAAAGTATCATTTGCCAATATAAACCATAATAAATTTTGCCCCCCCCCCNTTCCCTAGGGGGTAAACGTGAGACCCTAGGGTCATAAACCTTAAGACCCTTTCATCTATGAAGAGTGTTTTGATTCTTCCATATCTGGGTTTTTGAGAAGAAGATTTTTGAAATTTCAATCAATTCAACCCTTTTTGGCCCCACCCATCAGCCCGGGGGGTCAGTCAGGGCTGATATGTGCATACCATCAAACTGCTATCCAATACTGATAATGCTAACCTAAATTGAATTACTTCCAATGGAAATTACACAAATGTTGGTCCAAAATGTGATTTCCCTATATAAACTATACATGTAGTAAAGTTTACCCCCTCCCCAGGGGGAAATGTGAGACCTCAGGGTCCAGAAATTCACAATTTTGGTAAAGCAACTTAAGACCCATCCATCTATGAAGAGTATTTGATTCTACCATACCTGGGTCTTGAGAAAAAGATTTTTGAAATTTTAGTCAATTTGACCCTTTTTGGCCCCACCCCTCAGGCCCCTGGGGGCCAAACCGGCCACTATTTTTGTTGACCTTTGGCCATGGAAGGTTTCTGCAAAATTTCAATGAAATTGGTTCAGGGGTTTTGGAGAAAAGTTGAAAATGTAAATTGTTTACGGACGCACGCCGGACGCCACCGGACAAAAGGCGACTGCAATAGGTCACTTGAGACTTTTTCTCAGGTGACCTAAAAAGAAATGCATCATGAAATTGTTGCAAAGACAAAATCATGGCCTTTCTTCTTCTATTTGCTCTGATTTTGTAATTTAAACAAAAAAACAGGTTTACGATCATTTGCTGACCTGTGTAATAAAAGGAATGTCAAACATATCTAATTGCAACTTTATAAATTAGAAACTCATTGCAATACTTTCTATAAATAAATGAACTCAATGTATCACAAAAACTAGACGTTGTTTTATAACGTTACGTACACAATAATGTCCAATAAGGCAATAAAACCTGAAAACATCTATGGAACAATTTAACATTATCTTTCATATAAATAAAAGAGAACAATTTTTAGCCTGTCAATATTTTTACAAAATAAAATGGTATAAAGAAAAAATGTCAGATCTTATAACAAACATGCATAAGCACATAAAACAATATCAATTCTTTTATACTATTTTTGTAGGGGGATATCATATATTCATATATTATTGGCTATAGTAACAATTTATGACATAAGAGTATAAATAAATATATAAAGTGGAGCCTTGCTAGACTGCACAATTCCTACTCTAGTATTATTTTCCAGATTAATGACATGGACAGTCAGCTACAAAGACTTGTACTTGTTTGTATTCATGGAAATGTTGTCATGCTTAAGCTCAAGATTTTGCACTCAAAACTGATTCCTTGTTCTGGTGATAAATTATTAAAACTTCCCTTTGTTGATGATCTGGGTGAACTCTGACATGACCTGAAGGTGAATACCTTTTCAATGTCAAGACCCTACTTCTTGGTTGCTGTCACATGACTTTCAGTAAGTTACAAGGAAGTTTGAACACTCTATCTAGAGTTTATGCTGGAACATGAACATAAATGAATATGTATAAAGCGCTTATTTCACATACCAAGTTAATGGATTCCTAGTGTACTTACTGTGAAATCATTAATTTCCTTTTTGTTTTCATTTCATTGCTTTTCCCATACCTGGTAATCACGTTCTGTGGTGACATGAACTTGGGAAACATTTGCACCAAAGATTGATTTTTGAACATGAATACACGTCTTCCAACAGGGTTGATGGCATGTCACAATTTAGGTCTTTATTGAATAATTAATTTGCAGAATTGTGTTCCTATTACTCTATACAAGGAAACTGTCACCCAGACATATATAGCTGCCTTCACCAGTAAACTCCCTGTTCGCTCGGTTTTAATTTTGCCCTTAAAATGTAATAGCTATATATATCTGTCTACTTATATTCCCTTTTAAGATAAATTTGCCCTCATTGTGAAGGGTAAAATGATGAAAAGTAAACTGCGGCAAACATTTCGCAGTATGCAATATCTATCTATACATAAGGAAAGTAAAGATTTCACAGTAACCAACCAAAGACTATATCTAAAATATCATACATGATTAAATATGGAATTGCAATAATATCACACACTAGTTTCTGTGCCAGTTCTACAGCTAACTGAGAAAAGACCTTTATCAAGACAAATAAATATTTCTTTTTTTTATCAGTTCAACCACTTAAATGAGGTTTTTGTACCAGAATTCTGTAGCTTGAAATTAAGAAATGTTGCAAGAATCTTTCCAGTTTTCAAATTCTGTAATGGTTTTTTTGTAAGTTCATGCTTTTTTGAGTAGTTTGAAACTTTATTCTATGACATCTTTCTTCCAGTTATCAAATTACTGGTTGTTTTTTCCTTCTTGTGGTTTCCATTTTCTTTATGTACCCCATGATGTGAATATTAAAGGTCTATGAGTTGACTGACCAGTCATAATCCATGTAGTCTACACGGTACTTCTTGCTGTCTAACAGTTCGGTGAGCTGTGACTTCCTGTCTCCCTCCGGCATGTGTGCTTGGATCCACTGTAAGACCTGATAAGACCAATAAAATTCACAGGTAAGCTAGCGCTTCAGCTATGCAAATATTGTAGAAATGTAGAGGAAATATATTCGTAATTATTTCCTACAAAAGAGGATACAATTTCACAGGGCTATGATGTATTGAGGAAGTAAACCTTTAGCGAGTTCTTATCCTATTTGAGAATTTCAAGTAAAAAATTGTCATTTCATAGCTTAGTAATTTTAAGTATTTCTTTTGGAGACTTCCTGGTCAAAGTTTGTGAGTGTCGGTGATATCTGTTGCAATGATAAGGCATTAATATATAAAAAAAACATAAATGAAAGAATGACAGCAATCATATGATAGAAAGGGTCTACCAGAGTTATCTCCCCTTTGAAAATCACTTCACGGTTTTAGTGTGTTTTGGAGGGTGAAGAAACATGCAGATATCTGTAGACAGGCGTGATTATTAATGAAAGCATTGAAAATAATGATAACTAAAACTTCAAGTCACAAGCTTATATACTCTTCTCCATGAAAAATGATTTAAAATCAGTTGAAATACAGATATATCTAGTGATGAGAATGTGTAGCAGTTTCATAAAAGTCTGCTTGAAGGTTTTATTAAAATAATGCTGGAAATAAAGTATTGCAAGGTTTGCTTATTTTGCAGGGCTCTTTTTTTTTTGCTACTTTCCAGGAAAAATTATACAACCCTCAAAATGTATGGCACATTAATCCAACCTTCCTGTAGCATGTACATGGTGTCACAGCCACTAGACCATATATCCGAAAAAAACAGATCCCACAAAAATGATATTTTAGGAAAACCAACAAAAACTGTTTACTATATATAAATTATCTAAGGATAAAAATATTTAGCTAATGAGGATAACTCCAGTAAATATAGCTGGGTAAAAAAATGATATACTGGATTACAATTCTAAACCAGATCTTACTGGGATCAACTATTTCATTGCTTGACACAGGGTCTGGTTTAATTTATACTGAGAGAGATATACTGGATACCAATGTTAATGATTTTTGTTATAGAGGATAATTTTACATCAACATAAAACCAATTAAGAAAGTTCCATTATTTAACAGGAAAGTCAAGACTTGCTGTACGTATGGCATACAGATCATGACTGATTACCAGAAAAGGAAAATCACTAAGTAATGTTATGTTAAATCAATTTCAAATAAAACATGGTTTCTCTGAATGTAATAAATGTCAAAATGGTTGTATTAGAAACAAAATAAATAATAATTAACTGTACCTCCTCTTTATTCTTGCCAAAGTCTTCCTGATACCACTTCAATATCTTGGAAAGTCTGATCTGCCGTTTTTTCATGTCAATCTGACAGCCATCATCACCCTCAAGGAAAGCCTCAGCAGCAACTTTCAGTTGTTCGTATATACCCTGTTGTACAGAACCGCCTTAAAATCTTTAGTTCTCTATGGTACATCTGTATTTATCTGGCAATATGCTCATGCCAGCTATTGTAGGAGAGTAGAATGCCAACAAATGCTATACATTTTCCTGTAAATATCATCCCTGTAGTTTGAGCCAGAGATAAAGTGTACTTCCCTGAGTAAATTGTAGGATATACATGGTTAACACTCTGTCATACAGAACACCAATACCAGGTTAACACCCTGTCATACAGAACACCAATACCAGGTTAACACCCTGCCATACAGAACACCAATACCAGGTTAACACCTTGTCATACAGAACATCAATACCAGGTTAACACCCTGTCATACAGAACACCAATACCAGGTTAACACCTTTATCTTCATAAATGTACACTACACTCTAAATTACTTAATTTTCATGTATATATTTTTTCTTTTTTCTTTTCTTTTGTTCCTTCAAAACTACATTTGCAAAGAAAAAATCACAAAAGGAACAATAGGAGCTTAATTTAATATTCATTGTTTGTGTCTAAATAAATATTCCCAAAACGTTTCATTTTGTGATGGTATCTCCTCACTAATTCCTATGAATATAAGTATCGCACATAACATTTAAGAATTCAAAGTAAGTCTATGCTATATCGAGGTAAAACTTATCATACTTCTGAAAAAATGCAACCTTCATGAATTTAAAAAGATAATGAAGCTATTCACATCCCTTGGAAATAACTAACACCTGGTAAATAGTTTATGAAACTATCAACCTCTTCATGACTATTAAAATGTAATATTTTTTTGTACTCCAACCAATTTTTTTATCAAAAACATTATTTGACTTTTTAAAAGTTGGTTGGCTGTTGTACATGCTGTTAACCAATCAAAGATTCTGTTACCAAATTGATTTTCAACTATAGAATGGTCAACGGTAGTCTAATGGTAGGACGCCGGGCTCGTGACCTTCAGCATAGAATCTACGCAGATCTGTCCAAAACATTCACATTATTCAGATTTCACTGAAAAGACTAGTAGAATAAAACACTCATTCCATGGCTATTTTGGATGACAGCACATTTGTTAGTCCCTTGGCAGGAGTTTTCGTCAAGCTTCACCGTCAGAAAATAGTTCCAGCTTAGTTAGGGCATAAACCAACATGCTATCTTCCAAAATAGCCATGTGATTATAAATGTACAGTTTTCCTTTTATATACATGTACTAAATGATGTACTTGAGACTATACAGGAATTGGTGTCAAAAATCTCAATCTATTAAGTATATCTGAGAGTTAAGTTAAATGAGACTGACCTTTGTGGAGTAGGTTTTTATGGGCGGACAACTCTTGGCTCCACATACAAGTGCAAAGTGAATGAGTGGCTCATGTTTCTCCAAAGCTACTTTGAAGCGCGGCTCTGACTGGGAAAATGGTCTAGTGAACATACCTGTCAATGAGTAAAAGAGTCAAGTATGATTGTTATTATGTCACTCACCAAGGGTTTTGAAAATGTACAAATAAATGTATATATTCTTATTGAGCTTGACCTTAAATATCTTAAATCTAAATTGGTGAACAACAGCATACAGGTGTGGTGATGTTCCATTACATTATTTTGAAAAAAAATCAGTGAATTTTAACTTCACAGTGATATTGTAGTAGGGATCTTTATCTTTGCCTGTGAATCTTTGCCTGTGTTTTAACTCTTTGTCTCCAGAATATTGCCCCCTTTTATCGACCAGGAGTTCTCACTTGAAATATCAAAACAATTCTTCTTGAAATTTGGCTATGATAAACTTATTATATACCACAGCTGAGACATAAAACTACACTACAGAAACAGCTTTTAAAACTTGTATAGAATTATCTTATCCATTGTGATCCCCTTTTTGGGCCTCTAAGAAATTACATGTAGGTCAAAAATAGCAGTGTCCTATATCATACCCAACATGCATGCATAACAAGTTTGAATATGTTTCAAAATTTTAAGAAGTTAAAAATGTAAAAATAAACATGTCGTAAATGGCAAAAGTTTAACTTGTATTTCATAAATACAGACTATGATCTGGAGTTGAACAATATTAAATCAGTAATCTAAAAGTATTAATCAAAATATATTTTGGTGTACGTTAATTATTAATTCATAGGCAATCTTTCTGCCCTCGACTTACCAACACCCTTTCTGTTTGCCCGCAGTACACCATTCTCAATATCCTGGAGCGAGTAGGATTCTCCACCAATGATGTAACGAGTTGTGTTGAAAAACTGAAACAAAAACATGGGACATTTAGGTATCAACAGAATCAGACAATATCTCTGTGTGTTAGGCGAGGAGAAAACATGGCATGGTTCAAAGAGATGTTCACGACATTTAGGTACATGTATCAACAGAATCAGACAATATCTCTGTGTGTTAGGTAAGGAGAAAACATGGCATGGTTCAAAGAGATGTTCGGAACATTTAGGTATCAACAGAATCAGACAATATCTCTGTGTGATAGGTAAGGAGAAAACATGGCATGGTTTTAAAAGATGTTTAAGCTGTGAACGTAATATCTAATGGTTTTGATGTTTTAATTAAAAGAATGTTGACCTTAACATGAACTATCATTTTAAACTTGAAAAAAATGTAGGTTGGGAAACTATTTTATTCCGTTTAACAAATATAAAAACAATTTTAACTGATTTTTACTAAATTCTTAAATAATAAAAGCTATATGTTATTATTTGTTGCATGATTTGATATCAAAAATGTACAATGCAGGGATATTCCTGGAGGGGGCCGTGGGGCTTGGCCCCTAAAACCTGGAGTTTGGCCCTGATAATTTCCATTTTCTTTATATTTTACATATACCAGTACATGTTATAATTATTGCACCTTTTACTTTTCATATAAAAACGAAAATGGCCCAAAGTCTACCATTGCTCTCAGCTTCCAGGATTTTTCCTGCCAGGCCAAATTGAAAATTAATCCAATGCTTTTCTCACTGCAAACTGGTCATTAGCATTGATCAGAAGTGAAATTCAAATTTCGCTGAGTGACTTCACCATCTTTCCATTGAATCTAAGATCTTTCCATGGAAAGGGAAACCCTTCCAATACTTTCAAATACTGTTTTTGAAAATATGAAATAAAACAAGACACCTTCATGATTGTGAAAGATAAATTTTCCATTTTCTACCTTAGCATACATGTACCATCATAACTCCCAATACCTGTAACAATCACTAGTCAAATTATGAACATGACGTAGAAAGAATGGACATATTATTATCCTTAACATTTCAAGTTTACAGTAACTAATATCTTGCCAATTTGGGAAATATAATAATTATTGAAATAAATATGGCAATTGGTCATCCTATTTACCTTAATCATGAATTACATTGTAATTTTCAAAATATCAACAGATTATTTTGATATTAATTAACCAGTGTTGTATGAACATAATAACCAACCACCATGTGTTGGGGAAACTTACAATAGTATTATTATATATACCTTATACCTCTGCCAGAGGTTTGTTGCTGGGCCAACAGACACATTGGCATGGATGACCAGGGCATTGTATATATTTATGAAAAATGATAACTTCTCTTCGCGAGTAGCCTCTGAGATTTGGACACGATGAAGCTCCTTCGTCAGTCTTCCGTACACTTCAAACTCCTTGCTTTCAGCTATACCTTTGTAGTTCACTTTCTTATTTCAGGGAAAAGTTGAATAAGATAAACCTTAACAGCATGGACATTTAATATCATTTTAATATATTATGCATATCCCAAAGTGTTCACCTTTAACAAGGAACAAAATACATGCTGAGGTTTCATTTTATATTGTAAGTTGTAGATAGTTAGAATGAAAACATTAAAATGACTAAAGCTGTTGTTTAAAATGTTTTAATCACAAACAGTCTTGTTATATTACCAAACAGAATTCTAATTCGATTTAATACATGTTGTATTTATACAAGTTGTATGGCAAAATTCATGAAATTCAAGAGATTGTATTTAGATACCTTTCCATCCTTTGATAAAAAAGTATTGTATATCTTCAGAATCTGTTTCCTGATTTCCTCCCCCAGTTCATCAGCTGTGCGAAATAAAAATATGGATACGTGCAAGTCATCTTTGTAAACAAAACATTCCATATTATACATTGACCTCACCAGGGAAGAACTTGTACTTGAGGTTTCATTGGCATTTTTACCTGATTTGTGTCCCAGGAATCCAGGTTGTACTTATAACTAGGAGTACCACCAATAAAATGTATTTAGAATTTCCATAGAAGTAATAGGCAAGAAACAAAACCATGTATATAAGTAATAAAGGATATCCCCTGTATCTCTTCATGGTAAGGGTGGTACAATGAATGCCATGTATATTTCACAAGTATGACAGAATACTGATATTTTTCACAAGTGTGAAGCACAAGGGAAGTTATTAGTACATGTATATTCTATCATATAGGAGAGTGAAAGATAACAGATATATCAAATTGATAGAATGCAATATTTCACTGGTGAAATGTTTTAATAAAACAGGGTTGGTGACCTTGACATGCACATTGAATACAAATTTAAGTCATGATCTGTATGTACACACCTGGTCTTGGTTCACACTGGGACGTTTCGCCCGCATTAAGGGCCGAAGACTCATCATCTTCCAACAGTCTATAGTACTTGTCTGGAGCATCCTGGAACACTTCCTCACTCTTCACATTGTGACCAAAGTGCTTATCAATCAGGGCCTGACCCATCTCAACAGCTGCATCTCGTTCTAGAAATAGAGATCAGTATACATAGACAGGGCCTGACCCATCTCAACAGCTGCATTTCTTCGTTCTAGAAATAGAGATCAGTATACATAGACAGGGCCTGACCCATATGAACAGCTGCACTTCGTTCAAGGAATATAGATCAATATTCATACACAGGGACTGACCCATCTCAACAGCTACACTTCGTTCTAGGAATATGGATAAATATAAATAGACAGGGCCTGACCCATCTCAACAGCTGCACTTCATTCTAGGAATATAGATCAATGAACATAGACAGGGCCTGACCCATCTCAACAGCTGCACTTCGTTCTAGAAATAGAGATCATTATACATAGACAGGGCCTGACCCATATCAACAGCTGCACTTCATTCTAGGAATATAGATCAATATACATAGACAGGGCCTGACCCGTATCAACAGCTGCACTTCATTCTAGGAATATTGATCAATATAAATAGACGGGGCCTAACCCATCTCAACAGCTGCACTTCATTCTAGGAATAAAGATCAATGAACATAGACAGGGCCTGACCCATCTCAACAGTTGACTTCGTTCTAGGAATAAAGATCAATGTATATAGACAGGGCCTGACCCTTATCAACAGCTGCACTTCATTCTAGGAATATAGATCAATATACATAGACAGGGCCTGACCCGTATCAACAGCTGCACTTCATTCTAGGAATATAGATCAAATTTACATTTGCACTGCATAGTGCCTAGATAACTCTACTGGTCCCATTGTAATATATTTTCCAATGAACTACAACGGGGATTAGGTCAGTGTAGTGATACATAATTTCAACGGAAAACACAGTCATGCCCACCACAGTTTTAACAGAAAGCACAGCATCAAAATTGTCTACTTCATCTTCTGCATATATCAGTCTAATTTGTCTTCATTCACGTCAGGTTCTACCTTTCATGGATGTTCATTTACCTTCGATAAACAGTGAAAACTTTCAATAATGGCCGCCTCCGCCAGCTGATCTCTGACCTAATTACCGCCAAGTGGCGATGTTCCGCTGTGCTGTGTCTTAAAATGTTATTGTATGATAGTTAAATCGCTAAATGACCACAACATATATTAAAATGGTCACATGTTAGTATACAAATTGGTAATTGACATATATGCATTTAAATAAAAAAATTTTATTATAAAATTGATGTGTTTACTGTGGAACTTTCTTATTTATTTATTTTGCCGGCCTGGTTGCCCTTGACAACGACTGTGGAATGCGAAACTACCCGGCTGTTCCGAACAAAATATGACAACCAATCCTTAAATATACATTGACAGGGCCTGACCCATCTCAACAACTGCACTTAGTTTTAGGAATACAGATCAATGTACATAGACAGGGCCTGACCCATCTCAATAGCTGCAATTTGCTCTAGAAATAGAGATCAGTATACATGTACATGGACAGGGCCTGATCCACTTCACTAGCTGAACTAGTAATCCTTTCTTGCACGAAATAAAAATGAATATACATAGATATAGGGCTTGACCAATCTCACCAGCTGCGCTTCATTCTAGGAAAATAGATCAATATAGATAGACAGGGCCTGACCCATCTCAGTAGCAGCATTTTGCTCTAAAAATAAAGATCAATTTACATGGACAGGGCCTGCTCACTTTCAACAGCTTAACTAGTAATCCTTTCTTTCACGGAATAAAAATGAATATACATAGACAGGGTCTGACCCATATCAACAGCTGCACCTTGACTCAGGAAACAAAGAAAAACACAGTATGTAGCACCTAGTTGGTGGTCTAGTTTTCACAGCAGTGACATCTGGCTGTCAGTCTGGTTTATACAGGATTACAAAGAAATTCATACAGTATGTAGTACCTAACTGGTGGTCTGGTTTACTTCTGGTTCACACAAACGGTCCGGATTATACAGGGTTACGTAGAAATAAATAGAGGGACTGATTGAAGGCCTGTTTTATAAAGGTGTACAGATCTTACAGGATTACAAATAAATGTGCAGAGTCGAACATAGTAAAAGGTCTTCAGGTTTTATGCTTTTTACAGGGTAACAGAGAAATGTATACAATGTGAACTGTTTGAATATATGGTTAATAGAGTTTTCTGTATTATACAGGTTTAAGATCTGATAGGACCACTTATTCAAAATTACACAAGTAAAGTTAGCTTACCAAGCTCCTTTGTCTTGACAACCCAGTCCACAAACTCACGGCCCACGAAGGAGCGTTTATAAGTGGTAAGTATCTTAGAGTGGTCCTTGATAAGACCACTGGCCTTTAAGTCCTGTACCAGCTTGGCATACTCATCTGGTTCACATGAAAACTCGCCAGCATCTGAAACAATCAACTTTCTTATTAACAATTCCTTAAACTTAGGTCTCCCTCCTAAAAAGTTACATACTAAATATATGTGTCATAAAACTTCACTGTCAATATATTACCTTCTAGAAACACATGTTGTATGTATCCACCAATTAAACCTGTATGGCTGGTAATAAGCCCACTCATATCTATTGCAGTTCTTAGAAATGCCAACAAATGTTATTGCATAATTGTCCTGAAATAAGCCCACCCCCATACCTTGAATCAAACATCATGAGGAAGTCCCCTGGGGCATCCTCCATACTCCAGGGGTTGTGTTTACTTTTACTCTCTGCACCCCTTGGAATATGTCATAGCAAAACCGGAGGCTCGATCAGTGTGCGCCACCTTGTGGATGAGGCAGGACGACTAGTTTGATCCTTTGAGGTACATCAGAAGAATCTCTGTAGTGGGGTCGCTCCTCTGTAATCTTCAAAGGACAGGTATCAGCCAAGCGATTGGTCAGTTTTTTTTTACCCGAGACCAATGAAATAGCTACCCACGTGCCTTCAGTTTTATTATGACATATTCCAGGGGTGCAGAGAACATTAGTGAGTGTAACCCCTGTAGTATCAAGGATGCCCCTAGAGCTATTACAGGATAAATATGGTAGCTTTCCAAACAAATGTGTGTTTCAAACCAGTTTTTTAATTCCTGAAAAGATCGTTTTAATTTATACAGTGATATTATACACATACATACACATACATGTTTGTAAAGGGGTGATAACCATTACAGAATCAATGCTTCCTATTAAATTGGGGAAGTGGCGGTGTTGTATAGATAATTAATTTAAGGTCTAGGAAGGGCAGGAGTCAAAAATTGACATTCTTAATAAATTTTACTTATTCATTATGTACCAAACTACTCTAGCTTCTTTTAAAATTGAAATATCTATGGAATGAGAGTTGTAACTGTACTGTGCTGAATATACCACACATGTAACTTTTCTCTTAGCTTCTTATCTGAATTGTGCAAAAACTACAATATATCATGAAATGTAATTATACGCAATACTAATTTAAACCACTATTAACCAGAAAATCAGCACTAAATAATACACTCAATATACATCAGTATATGTAGCAACTAGCAAATAGACATTTATTATTGAGACATTTTAATATGTTCAGGTATAGACAACCATATAGATAAAGAAGTAGTTGAAGTACCAGAGTCTTTGACAGCTGTGCTGGGGTCTGGTGGCTGTGGGGCATCACTTCCGGCTACATTGTTCTTCAGCTCCTCAATGCTTGCCTCCCACTGACTTTTGTCATTCACCTGCATTATAACACACAAAGCTCAATATTTTTTTTCAAAATCAAAACAAATTCAACTTTTGTGCCTTTGTCATCCTGGGGAAAATGGAGTATTTATAGCATGAACAAAATGAAGATAAAAATTCATCAAGGAAGAACATCATAATAGCAATAAGGTTGCAAAGGAATCTACCAATAGCATTCAGCTCATACCTATGTATAGAAGTGTGTACATTTAAGTATGTTTGAATGTATATGTTTCGATAAAACTTTATATAAGTCTGAAAGTCAAGTAGAATACATCATATGAGTGCATGTTTCAGGGTGCTCAGACTTAAAGTCCAAGGTCACTATTGCTTTTTATAAGAAATCTTTATCATCATACTTGTTTACCATTAACACAGGTTGTAGAGTTCTTAGATTTGTGTTAAACTATATTACTACATGTAGTAACATTTCAGCAAAAAAATTCAAGTTGCACATCTAAGAGATAGGGACATTTATTGTTTGTTACCGCAAGTATAAATCTTAAACAAACATTTGTTTAATTTTGTTTATAGGGGTCTCCATATGAATTAATGTACTACGCCTGAAGTGGAGACCATTTACTGGTTAAAACAATGTGAGTGAGGTTACCCAACCACAGCTGGTCATCAGTATCAGGCCAGGAGAAAGGGAGGGCGACAGAGATCCAGCTCACTGCCATCTCCGACAGCTGGTCATAAGTATAAGGCCGTGAGAAAGGGAGGGTCACAGAGATCCAGCTCACTGCCATCTCCAACAGCTGGTCATAAGTATAAGGCCGTGAGAAAGGGAGGGTCACAGAGATCCAGCTCACTGCCATCTCCGACAGCTGCTTTCAGAATATCATCATCTTAAAATATTTAAAGTTGACTTGTAACAGACATTAGTAATGTGCTTCCATCGGGGATCAAACCTGATACCACCAGCGTCTAAGTCCATTTTGATGGTGACCTACCACAGAATGCAGGGGACATCATTTGTAATAGGAAAGGCAATAGTACATGTGCTGTCACCAGGAATCAAACACACGACACACTGCAGCTTCCCAGTCTGCCGCTCTACCAATTGAGCTAAAGGGAAATTACCTCTTTATTGGTAAGTTTGATGGTAGAAGGCGGCCACAATGGAGAATTAATCTACCACAATCTGAGCATTGGGACCGAAAACAACAAAACCAACAAACAAATGGCAAGGTGAAATTATATACTCCACTACCATTGGTGTATCACTTTAATGTTTGATGACACTGCAAACTAACTCTCCAGTTGTTCTGTCGGAGTCAACTGTTTTGAAAGGTGTTGCACCAATTAAGCAAATTAAGGTATAGTTTACTATAAATATGATAGAATCATTGCCATTTAAGTTTTAAAAAGTTAAAGCTGTAAAACTGTGGACATGACCAAATATGGTTCCATGCAATGTAAGTCTTTGCTATATATATACATGCAGTTACATGCTTGTAAATATTTACACATCTACATTTATGTCCATCTGAGCACACATGAACCCATTTCTCTCCAGTTTTAATGAGCATTAGAACCATGTTTTTCTGTTTGTTATGCTTGATTATGTAAAAGGCACATTGCATAACCCATAACGTATCACTATAGTCATTCCCCTGTTTTTATTTTATATTAATTATGATAAAGAAAGAAGTGAAAATATCCTGATTATTCAAGAAAGATTTGTTTAAAGAAAGTTACAATTTAATTGAACCTTTATCTTCAAATGAATGAAACCTATCTCAACGGAATTGAACTTAAATATAAATACAACAACATGTATCAACTTAAATATTTCCCTGTCCTCTTATGTAAGTTTGTTTGTTCACACCTGAAAGGAATTGAAACTGCAAGCCCCTCTCAAAATACAGTAACACAGCAGAACTTCTATTTCAATTTCTCCTTATTAGGATAAATTGTAAAAGGGAGGCTATTTTCATTTGCTTAACAATCCTACAGCTTTAACCCTGACCCTATATATCACATCAGTGCTTTACTCCCCACTTTAACCAGGGGTGGGTGTGTCGGGTATGATGTTCTGGACCCACCCACAATTCAAAAAGACTACAAATATTATAATGCCTCCACATTCCCCATCTGTTTTGCAGCAGTACCCTAGCTACTGCCAGGCAAAGCTCCGCCCATCTTCCTCTCAAATTTAAGGGTACAGTGTATTTACGTGTACTTGGTACCACAGGTGCTGGACACTGATATGTGTATACTATCTATATACACACATCGTATCAGTGTCCAGCACATGTGGCATCTATCAGTGACACTGTTTCTCTCCCATGCCCAAACGTCACTAAAATGCATTGCTTGTCTACTAGTGTACTACTAGTGTCGCTCCCTTACCCCTACCCCCCTATACTCCCACCCCCTTCAGCAGGCCTTTATTACACTGTTACACATGTTCTACAGGTACACATAACGTTACGGTTACCAGTATTTGTAGGTCATCATTTCCACCTATGTGTCTCGCATTAAAGAACACCTGCGGTACAGTGCGTCTGCCAGTTCGCTGCTTCAATTCTTCTCGACATTGCGGGTAGGCATCCAGGCTAATGTCAGTGTAGGGGACCCCCAGATCCTGTAACGTGTTTTTGGCCTTCATGCAGTGAGGACATCCTAAGATTGAGTAGACGATCACTCGTCCTTTCAGCTCCATATTAGTTGACGACAAGTTCCAGAATGTGACAGCGAGAGATTCTATATCCGGGTATCGTCGGTATTGACTCGGTACAGATCGTGTCGGATATTTGTAAGACTTGATCAATGAACTCACCCCAGCGGAAACTACACATAACAGGCGTAGACCGCGAATCATGTTCCGTGTTGGAAGTCCTGCCTGGAATGTTGGTGTAGGGGGAATAACTCCTATACAATTTGTAGTATTTTGTGACATGTTTTTTTGTGCTCACATTAGCTTTTTGCGACACTTGTTCGTAAATTTACATCACTGAAAGACATGCAATTTTCATTTCAATAAAAAAAAAATACGAACAGTTACAAATGAACTAAATCAGAGACATATAAAGCCATGCGGTATATACGTCTCTGACTAATGTTATAAATAGCTCTTGTTGTCACACCTCTCATGTGAGTTTCCTGTACCAATGATGAGTAAAGACAATTGTTCCCTTTTCTCTGAATATCAAGTGTAGCATTGTGTGCATTTTTATCGTCCGAAAGAAACATTTACGTTTAATTGCCAGAAATGTAAAAAAAAAAATTGAATATATATATATATACACAGTATGTCATCATTTAAATCACAATATACATTTAAAATGTATAGGTAATACTAATAATAATAATATACAGCATTTATATAGAGCCCTATATAATTTGTAAAATTACTCTGAGGCGCTTTACAACATATGTATAATAGCAATGGTTATAATTGTGAAAACAAACAACAAAGGCTTGCAATCACTTTCATACATTTATCAAGCAATGTGCACATAATTGAACAAATAAAAGGGTGGTATTTACATGACGTCTTTGCAAAGATTCTAAAATGCAGACATGAAGAGGTGAGTTTTTATGTCCTTCTTGAACTTGGCCAGGGTATTCGACTTCCTAATAGCAGA